AGAAGAGTAAAGAACTCTTACTCCCACCTTAACTTGAAGAGTCTCTTCCCGTAGAAGTTTCTGGTAGCTATTATTCATCCCTGAGTTCTTGCATAATGTCGAGAAGTCTGAAGCCAGTCATTACCTATCACACATACCACCAACACCTCTGCCACTCGCCATCTTTCCGCAAGTGCGCAAGTCGAAAGCTAACTCATTAAGTATTTCATAGCTTAGCAGGTGCCAGCTCCTTTACCTCCTACTTCCCATCATGATAATAATACTAGTACTAAGGGTCCAAAGGAATTGAACGAGCAGTCAAATTTCCTAGCTCATAGAACGTTACTTTAGCGTGACAGCTCAAAAACGGCCGCAGAACATTCTTTGAAAACAATTACTCTTTGTTGGTCATCTCTGAGTGCAATAATGCAGGAAGTTTATAATGCTTTCTAAGCAGAGATAAATTCAACGCTACTGCAGATTACATTAAAAGTTTCTGTCGTGGTCTTTTGTGTTTTCTCGACAGAGTTGCGAAACTCAGTTGCCATTCCATTTTACTTATGTTTATTTACACGCATGAATGGTCGATTGGTCTCACCTATATAGATGGCATGACAATCTAAGCACTCCACTGGTAGACTTCTCCGCGCTTGAAACAATGTTCCAGTTCTGAAGCAAACTACACAATTTTGCGAGCTGCAAGCGAAATCATACAGCCTACCGGTGTCAGTTTCTAGCCGCGCTTGCAGTATTGCTAACTCAGATATTGCTTTTAAGCTTTAAATTGCAGTGAGTAGCCGTTGCTGGATATTATATAGGGTGCTACTTTTGGAAGCTAATCTTCAACTCCAATGCATTCTAAAAAACTCTTTTTGATTAATTATTCGCTCATCCATTTCTTTTGTTGGCATGACATGATAATGCAACAATCATGGATAAGCAACAGTCAGCGTTATCTGCTCTATTTTGAATTTTTCATGAAGCAGATAAAAGACACCGGCGTTAATCTTGTCCCATTGCCAGCCCCCTTGTAGATGCACAACATGAAAATGTTTCAGCTGAAACCTTCCTGACCAAAAACATGATAGGCGCTTCATTAATCATCCATCTCAACAATACGTATTATTTTCTAGAATGTAGTTTCACCAATACTTATATTCTACTCTCGAGGGTGATATCGTAATTTCTAGTAATTTCTAAAATTGAACAAATTTCCTTATCTCGCAATGTTATTCATTCAATCGAAAATGTTCAGTTATTGCTTTGAGCATATATTGGACGAAATTTCAAGATTCGTAGCAAATTTGCTCTTGATAGGGGAGGAATGGAACCGGGGCAACAACCATCACTGCATATATGATAACAACAAGTGACAGCAATTCATATACCATATGCACA